CCGACTTTTGCCCACAACTCAGCATTCTTGTGATAACTGGAATGTTTGTTCGCGTGAGATAACTGCCACTGATCAGAACGGAGGACCCATTTGATCAAGTCGTAAAGAGCTTCATTGATATTCAAGCGCTGTCCGTACTCTGCAAGGCGTTAAGACCAATAGTTGATGTATCCTGTCCGAGATCAGAATTTTAAGCAGAGTGCCTGCCGGTCTGCGGCTCTTCGAGTGCAGCTGGCATTCTTCGCAACCCTTCTGGGGCGTGTCCCCGTTTATAGCGCGGAAGCACTTGCAATCATAGCAATCAATGCGCGTCTTGGCAAAGTCTGAAGCTTTGCCTGAACATCGTTTCGTCTAGACAAATGCAAAGCCTTCGGTCCTCTCTTCAGTACAAAAGGTTGAAAAGCAGAAAATCTCGAAGCTTTTCTCCCAGTTCGGCACCAATTTTACGGCTGATAATATGCTCGGATATCTCTGTGTTGTTCCTCCGCTATCTCTCTGGGGATGTGTCCTCGTCTATAGTTGTCACCCGGTCTACCGTGAAATTTCTCGAACTTCGATAAGTTCGCGACAATAATTTCTTCGTGGAAGGGGGTCAAGGTAAAGAAGCGAAGACGAATGGATTAGAGCTTTGTTGAGTTGATATTCATCTCCATGCTGTGTAAGAGTTCCGGAGAAGAAGTCGCCCGGTTGTCCCTCCGCAAAAGCTCCTAATGTGTCCTAAAGATCAGGTTTGACGAAAATGAATTCGCACAACCAACCTCGACCATTATCAATGGACATTACTGTGTATCCACGGCGTAAGAACAGTCAGAAGGGCTCTTTGTAGGAGAAACCGTATCCATGCTACATTTAAATGCAAAGGCGCTATGAGACGGTTAGATTGCAGAGCACTTTTTGCATACTGCCGGGAAAACCTTCCGTAACATTCCCTTGAAGCGAAATAGTGGGTCCTGTTCGAGTTTCAGAGGAATGCGGAAGTGATGACAAATATCAGGCCAGGTCATCGCGAAGTATTTGGCATTTCGAGTGTCCAAGGTACCGCTAACAAGAGAGGTCGTTCAGGTCATGGTGAGCTCTTTGGGAACGGTTTGCCGCATGGTATAGGGGGCCCTGCATAGATCAGATGGAGTTCGTTTTTGCCTAACCTTAGTGGAA